TAATCCTCTTGAAGCTAAATATTTTTGTTGTTTTTTTTTTCGTAGCGTATCCTAGTTGCTTATTGTCTAGTCCCTAACTTCAACATTGCCCCCCACCTTTTTGCCTGTCCATAAAAACATCCAATATCTTCTTAAAATTGTTCACAGAAGGGGCAGCCACTACTTCGTCATCTAACGCATTCCACGCGTTCACCACTCTTCGTCGAACTCTCACTATTTATCGTCCCTCGTATTTATTTATTCTTCCTTGTTCGCCTTTCCCCTTTAATCTCTGACGCTGCCAAACCCAGGTGAAATAAATTGAATTGCCATACATGTGCTCGCAGCAATTTATTAAGGAGATGGCGCTAACCTCGTGGATATACACACAAATGTACAGATGCACACTGAGATGATCGTCACCCCGAGAACAGAGCATTGCCTTCATTTAAAAATCCAATTGATTCTGCCTTTTTTAGTTCATCTTCCAGAGCAAAAATTCGCTTCTGAAACTGTGGCCATGTGCTCTAACAACAGTCATGGGAAGAGACATCCGTGTTACATCATGGCAGCGTCTCTTTTGCGGTCCACGTTACCGGTCGGTCATGCCAGGGAGTGATGCAAGCGTGGGAAATCTCACCTTTATTCATTCCTCATCTAGCTTTACATCAGGCTCAGCCCCGCTGTATATAAGCTTATGCACCCGACTGCGCCACACAGACGTTATCTCTCAACAGCGCGGGTTCAGGTTTTGCGTAGGTCAATCGGCCTACAATGTTTTACCAAGGAATCTGGACGACCTAGAACATGGTGCGTTTTATTTTTAGACTTATGCAGTTACCAGATTGATTGGGAGGAGATTACACCTGTGAAGGCATTAGGCCCTATTTACCCCATTTGGAAAGTTAGAAAAAAATAGCTTGTGTCAATTATGGAAGCCTGCTTAGTGTATTCGAGTTGAGCACCTCCCACTTTCCTGTGATGGGAAAACAACAAAATTTAAACGTTTCAGGTATGTACGAGGGGGGGGTAGAAAACTTCGTGAACTTTATTTTTTATACTCCTAACACTTGAACGTAGAATCTGCATCTTCCTGTCTTATTATTATGGCAAGCTTGCATGACATACCTTAAATTTCGCTGCTTGGCAAAACCTTGCGAGAGCGGAAGCAAAGATGGCTGAGGACCCTGTGAGAGAGCAGCAGATAGTGACCAAATTCCTTATGAATGAGGGTAGGAAGGCTTCATCCCAGGGTCAGACTGGCCAACCAGGATACTGGGAAATATCCTAGAGGGTCTCTCCAGAACCTAGGGCCTTCACACCTGCAGTGGGGGGGACCCTTGGTCTGCATTATGGGAGAGGGGGGAGGGAGGCATGCTGGGACCATGTCAGCAATTTCCTGAGGGGCCCCCCAGGTTGCCAGTCCAACCATGTCGCATCCATCCTCAAATAGTTGCAAAATATTTATAAGGACCAATTTCATGTTTCAATTGATCGACTGAAATGTGATGGCCTGCCTAAATGCACTCTTCCATACATTGACTGTTGACTCCAGCAACATACGTGCTGGGACAGCCTATGCGAGGGTCACCTTCAATTGATGTTTGTCTGGATTTTAAACATTCAGTGGATGTGGCTTTCTCATCCTCAGCCATAAGGAGTTTCATCACAATCCCCTGCTCTCTCTGCCATGAATGCCATGCAGGCTTACCATAATCATAAAATAGGAAAATGCAGATTTTAGGTGCAAGCCTTATGAGTATTAAAAGTAAAGCACATGAACTTTTCTACTCCTCCTCGTACTATGTGACTCAAGTGTTTAGGTCATAGGAATCAGCTGCTGCTCAACTTAGTTGCTGGTGAATAAACTCATCTCTTGTTTGTTTCCTTATTGTATCTGATGCTGTCATCCTCAATTCCTATGATATTTTGATCATGAGAGGAAGCATAGAAGGCAAGACTGGGTGCTCCTAGGTATTGGATATGAAATGAAATTGGATATGGTATATAGTTGTTTAGTGCCTCCAAGAAGACATTCCTACTGAATGAAGTATTCATGCACAGCATGGTATGGGAGTACTTTTAGGTGTATGTCAATGGTTGCATATCCCACCAGTTTAGACTGATGACCTGAGACATGTACATGAAATGCCTATTCAGTTTGATATAAATTCACAGCTTGACTCAAGAATTGAACTTGTATGCTTGACACTTGGTTTATGCACAAGTGTAGAGATTTAGATTGTACAGGGTGTGTATTTTAAAAAGTATACCCAAGTTCTTATGGCATAGCATATGGCCTAGAGTGGCATAGCCATGTAGGCCTTGTTTGTTAAGCCTACAAGGCTATGACTACAAGACACAACCTGTATTAACATGCAGCTTCCCAGTAGCTGATTTCACTGCTCCTCTATTGATTCAAACCAGGGCTGAACTCATGCTGCAGGGGCAACTCTTGATATTCAGCAGTAATGGATTATTAATGGAGGCAGAGTTGGCCCTGGTTTACCCTACCTCCAGAGGTGATCCTCCACCACTTCTGAATATCATGAGCTGCTCATGCCATACAGTAATGACTTTTATTAATGCCATCATTAGGATGTCTCCTGCCTATTGTTTCTGCTAGCTGGTGACTGCCAAGACTAGATTATGCAAAATTACAAAATAGCTACATGTAAACATGATAAGGAAAGAAAGTACTAGAGTCTTTAGCAGAGGTCACCTCACTTTTTGTTTGGCCCTTCACTGTCCCTATTGCTTTGGCTCTTGTATTTTTAAGAATGTCAGACTTTGATTTGATGCTTTTCTAACTTCAAATCCCAGTTTCTTGTAATATTCCAGAAGAATTCTTTGATTTTTCTTCTCCTTGCCTTTCTCTCATGGAAAAAAAAAATTGCAGAAAGATCTTGCATGCATTAATCACAAGGGCAGCTGAGGCTGGCTAAACTGATACAAAGTTAGGGGGAGAAATCAAATGTTTGAGTCATAGTACACCTCCATTAGACTCAGTTGAGCCATTTTAGTGAAGTTGCAACATGGACAATTTCAGTATGATGCATCTTGGGAAACATATTTACCCATTTTCTTTCACTGGAGATTTGTTCTCACCAAGAATTAACCCTTGGTGGCAAGCAGTCTGTGAGGGGTGAAATAACATGGCTGACCACTAAGGGCTCTTAGAAATGCTACATGTAATAATTAGGTGGCAAAATAGTTCAAGTTTCGTTGCTTTCTCCAACCATGGACTCTATATCTTTCAATGGACCCCACAGTGTTTCTGGATTGACTTTTACCCCATTTACACGTGCTTCTTGCTTCTATGGGCTCTGCTGTCAAGTTGTGCCATAGTAGTTCCTCTTCTCAGGTAGGGATGTTGTTCCATTGGTTTCACTCATCAGTATAACTCTTCACAATTAGTGGTGATTGTAATTTATGTGTCTCCAGCAACATTGGCAACATCAGCAGGGAAGGAGTGTAGCAGGGTAAAAGTTTATCCAGGAACACTGTAATTTGCAAGTTATGAATTTTTTAGGTTCCTAAAAACAAGGTGAACTAAGCCTTTTCATGGTTGCCATCAGTATACAATTGCTCCATAACCAAATGAAAACTCATTGGACTCATCTGAAAAGCTGCCTAGCTCATTATAGGCCCTTGCAAAATAAATTATTGATGTCTGAAGGAAGAATCATTATCATTGCTCATGATGTAGTATAGAGCCTGGAAATCTGTGGCCTTGAATGAAATTTAGTTGAATACAGCAGTGACCCTTTAGTAGTTTCAAGGAATGGGAAGATATAACTCTAGCTCACATGAATGAGCTATCCTGCAGGGTTGAGCAAGAACTAGCCAAGCCACAATGTATGTGAAGGGATAAGATTTGTGCCCATTTGTTTGGACATTGCCTGGAAGGGCCAATATGAGACAGGTTAGGCCTAAGGTGTATGAGATAATTTTAGAAGCATTGTTATTGGTATATAACCAGCATTTCTTGATGACTGGATCTTAATAGCAGAAGGCATCCTAGGCCTTTAAGCACTTTTAAGCTATTAGGCATGATCAAGCAAATTGAAAAGAGTTTTAAAAGTGTAAGCAAAAGGAGGAAGGAGAGAAAATTAATGTTGGATATTAAATGGACTTTATGACAGGAGTTGTAGAAGAAAATAAAGTGAAACCTTGATCTCTTTAGTCAGAAATTGAACTGCTGTAAGTCATCCTTGTTCATTTTTGCATTTTTTCTGATTTTGTACTTCAAGTAATTTCAAGCTAGTGACTCTTAACTCAAAATTTTCATGAAAAGACAATGCAGCAATTCTAAGGCTCCTTTCTTCTAAATTATGTTTTTGGCGATTCTGTGCTGTGTTTGTTGTGTAAGAAACTGGAGCAGGTAGTGAGATTTATTTTGTTGCATTATTCCTTGTGACAGCCTGTATGCAAAGCATGTGAAATCTTGAGAAACTGGAGAATGGAATTTAGGGTTAATGAACTTGCATTATATTAGCTGAATATGCCTTTCCCAACCTTTGGCTTTGCATAGAGTGATTGAATTAAAGCAAGCAAAGTTTGGTGAAAGTCATGCCATAGGAATAAGGTAAGTATAAATATGTTTCTATTCTTGCAGTTGACCCTTGAAGATGGCTGAAAAACATAGGAAACAAAGAATACTCTTTTTCCCATTTACCCTATGTCTGTTCACATGATGGTATTTACTTTAAGGTTTTGTAACTTCTACAGGTTTGGCATTTGTATTATAGAAATTGGCCTCAATTTTATTTTGTACCTTATGTAAATATCTTTCATACCTTTACTCATGCTTCTGTTTTGTTTTGTTTTATTCATCTCTTAATCCTTATCCATTTCATTTGGTTTTCAGAGTAGCTCATGATCAAGGCTTTCTCAAGAAGCCTTGGAGCCAAATGAAAGAGCATTTGGAGTTGATGACTAAAAGGAAGTTATCACACCAGTCTTTCCATTTGACTGAGATCTAATTTAGCCTTATTACTGAATGTGTTTTGATGATAACAATGAGTGGTGCAAATGTATATGAAAGTCTCAAGAAGGCTGTGGAAGTGACACTGAATCCATATGTTGAGCCTGAAGAAAGGCGGAAGGCAATCCAATTTTGTGAGGAGTTTCGTGAAACGTCCCTGCTGCCAGTGAGGATGGATGCAGGGGTGACGTTGGCCCATAGAGATAACACTCATGTTGTTCGGAAATTTGGCCTTCAGTTGCTGGAGCATGTCATCAAGTATCAATGGAATCAGCTCTCCACTGAGCAGAAGCTCTTTATCAAGGTAGAGATCTGCTGCACTCAATCCACCCTGAATCTTCCAATTACAAAAATACATAGTAATTTTTTATTGCCCTTTTCCTAATATTTTCTGAAAATTGTCCATGCCTTTTGAGCAGCATCACTTTACTGGGTAACATCCTAGGAATTTATAATTATTTCAGGTTTCTTAGATATGAGACCAATTGCTCATGAAATTGGAAAGTAAATCAGCAGTCAACTTGTGTCAGATTCCTGGGGATATCTGGGATTCATTCAATCTTGAGGAATCTCCCTCCAATGGGCAGAAGTAGTGTGATTGGTCACTCAAGGAATGCTCTCTTATCAAATGCACATCAACCTTGCTCTGACATCTGCAGATTGATTGAACTGAAATGGATTTGTTCGTTTTACTCTAACTTTATTAAGGTTTTGTTTTAATATCTGTTTCTTCCCACTTTCAAGCTTTTCCCATGTCTGGAAATCTTAGTCTTAGTAGTTGACACTTAGGAAGAAAAATATTTTAAAGTATTAATTGCAAGCAGAAACAACTGATCAGAAACAAGACAACCATTTTTCTCCCCATCTCTTTGCCTTAAGAGCATTCGCTCATATTTTTATGCCAACAAAGACATTGCTTGACATCTGAGAGTCTTATATCCCATAGATTTTCTTTTAATGATTCAAGCTCTTTCTGAAATTTCTGTGTAGAAAAATAATCTAGAGAGCTAGGAAAACTGAAACCATGAGTTTTGTTCTGGTAAAATTGATGCTTCAATGATGTCATTACAATATTATGATATTCAGCTGATGGAGGCTTGTTTACCTGGTGTCTCCTGATAATGTAACTTTTTTTATCATTGACTATCTATGGTAACCAAGCCTATAGTGAATCCCTATTTGGGCATAGCCTCATATGGACCCTTTGACTTGCAAGCATTTAAATGCCCACTCAACCTCTCTTTGTCAAGCACAGCAGTGAAGGTTTGTCATGCCAAACATGCCATATGGTGTGAACGGCAATGAAAGTCTTATGCTGAGTTCAGCTCCAAATGTTATCATAGTGTCTCCTCTTACTGATGCTCTTAAACTTTCCCACTTTGTGTTAAGGAAGAAAATAAGCATCCAAAAATGTCAATGTCAGTCAGCAATCAAGCTCCAACTGCAATAGAATTGGTGTTATTGACTGATATCTAATACTGATAACACGTTGTTGCAGTCATGGGCAAAATAGACCTTTGCCTCTTTTAATAGGAACCTCTTCCTCAGGAACATAATTTTTTCATTAATGGGGTTTGGGCTTAATTTATGCAGTTTGCAGTCTAGTGCTAGACTCTTGGACTGTAGATCTTGATTATATCCCTAAACGTCACATATTTAATTGTAAATTTTTTTTTTGCATAGGACTTTTTCCATCTGCATTAATTCCTTTTGATCTGCTTACAGGGCCAATTGGTAATGGAAGAAGCAGTCTTGGTCACATTTGAAATGGAATTCACGATTCCTTTGGCCTATTGTAATCCCTAAAAATTCTTCATTTCGAAGCATTTTACTCTTGCTTCAAAATGCAGGACTTCACTGTTCCATTTCCATTGCAGTTGATAGAATCAGGAAGAAGGCCTTATCGTAGAATTAAGGAAATAGTGCTGGGGCCTTAAGCAAGATGATGTGGAGTCAAAGTAAGATACATCAATGCCTAAGCTTTTTCCAAAATCTATTGATACCAAAGGCATCAAAGTCAGTGTCAATTATGAGTGAAAAATTCACAAAATTATGAGCTGAACCTTTTGAAGAAATGCCTCTTGTGGCATCTAGAGGGTCTGTGTTTTTCAATTGGTACCTTGCCATTTTGAGCATTTGATAGCTTTATGATTCATGTTTTTATGATAATATATGCACCTGAAATACTTATTCATCTGTGGAGACATCAATAATTCATAACAAAGGGCAAGAATCTCATTGGTACCAGGTTTCAATCAACAAAAGTATATATTTGGCCAGTACTCCTATATTGGTAACATAGTCAGTATATCTCATATATGGTTACTAATCAGTAAACCCTAGTAATGTCTTGTCTTCCTTTTTTTCCATATAGGATAAAACTATGCACCTTATTGGGCATGGGAGCAATCCTATACTTGAAGAGGAGAATCATATCAAGGTGATGTTCTTTTTCCAGATCCTGCTTTATTTCTGTTTTAGTTTAATTTTAAAAATCCAATGTTGCTACTTCTATGAAGTTCTACAGATTCTTTGTCAGCACTGTTTATTCTCTGGATTTTTGTGGACTATGCTTATCATCCATCTCCCCACCACTCATAATTATGAAGAAAAGTAGGAAATATTTTAAATCTGAAGTTACTCTCAAGAATTCTCAAGCTTGAACTCAATTCTTGAACTCTCTGTATGATGGCCATTTTGGACTGTAGGGTACTAGTATGAGAAATTTATAAGAAAATACCTAGATGTTGGATCATTCTCATTCCTTCTCAGTTCAAGATTGACAATTGAGGTGCACCTTTTGCCTATGACCTTGAAAGTGCTTTGGTTTTGCCTTCACTGGCACACCTGGTTGAGGTCATAATATTCATTATGGATTCAGGATTCCCTGTCACGACTGCTAGTGGAGATGGCCAAACGAGAATGGCCACAGCAATGGCCTACCATGCTGTCAGAGCTTAGCAGCATCTGCAGCCTTGGGGCAAGACAAATGGAACTTGTTCTCCGGTTCTTCCTTCGCCTTGTTGAAGATGTTGCATTGTTTCAGGTTTGTTCATCCCCTAATGCTTCATAATGAACAGGTGCCTTTAAAAAATAACTCCCAGTTGGGGATATGTACTTAGTATCTGTTTTGCATTCAAGGTATTCCAGTTAATTTTTTTTTTACTTTAGTGTCTTTTTTTTAAATCAGCATTTCATTATATTCTTTCATTTGTCAGTTACAAGTGAGAAATTGAAGGTAATGCTCTTCTTACCACTCCAGTATGCTTATTGTCATATAGACCCTGGAAGCTGCTCAGAGAAGGAGGGACATCTTTCAAGCTCTCACTGCTGAAATGGAGACCATCTTTGGATTCTTCTTGCGAACAATCTCAGAGCAATTCATCAAATTGAAGGAGATTGGCTGCTCCAAGGCAGCAGAAGCACCAGAGCAGGTGTATGAGAGAAATGTCATCATTCGCATTCTGGATGTATGTCTTCCAAGAAATGTTATTAATATATTTTATATGTATAAATCTTTATATGGATAGGGTGTTCATATTTAAACGCAACATAGGGAATATTTTGCTGCCTGTAAGTGGAGTGTGGCAAGCGCTATAAGGCCCATCGGGCTGCCTATCTGCAAGGAAACACACCAGTCATAGGTTCCATCCTTCCAGATATGCAACCTGGTGAGCTGTAAGGCATGCATTGAACTCCACAAACAGGTGGCAAAATTTTCCCTATGTTGCGTTTAAATATGAACACCCTGTATTAATGAGCCTAAAATTACAGACAAATATATTGGCTTAATATGCAATATAGTCCATATCCTGAATCCTTGTGCATGTGGTAGACTCTCAAAGAGTCAAAGGGTAATGAGGTTCATAAGATAAGTGTCACTGCCAATGATGACAAATGACAGCAATAATGTTGACGAAGGGGAATTTTCTTGACCAGTGCCCTGCTTTATGGCCTGTCCTCACATCCCTCTTTCTTTGAAATTTCATTTTTGGAGTCTTTCTATCAACTCAGTTGACAAGTGCTAATCCTTTTTATGGCAGTCCTCTGGCCAGGAGGCAATGCCGCTGCACAAGGATTCAGGATACAGACTATACCTGGCTGTGCAGTAAACTGCTCCCAACCAAGGTGTGCAAATAGAGTAAAAGAAGTAACTTTTTGATGCTGATTCTGTTCCAAAACTACCCAAGAGCAGCAGAAAATACCCAGCTTCTGAAAACAGAAGCATAAGACAGAGAGACCAAAATCTGAAGGCCAAATTATTTACAAAAGTGTGTAGCAATTAGCCAAGTTGCTTCACTTGAGAAAGAATAGGAATAGGACCAGAAACTGAATCACAGTTAAGTATCTATTTAAAAAAAGGAAGTATGCTCCCCTCAAAGATACACAGACTGTATCTATATTTCACTTCACTGTGACCGAATGACATAATCTTATGAATAAAACGATATGAATATCTCCTGCTACATAATTCTCTGTGCAGTGAAAAAGGTGGATTTTTAGTTTTAAAATGTCCATATTTATAAGATGTAAATTTGGTGAGGATATATTTATGTAGGGTGTAACACCCAATGATGGGCCTGTTAAGGACGTGTACTCAGTGATGGGCCACGGTGCAGGAAAATTTTAAAAACTAGGCATTTATATCATGAACACCTTTGAAGTGTGTATATGCTTCCATGCTGCAAGCCTATGTCACAACGGGTGCAGGCATGCCATGAAAGCATAGCTGTTGGGATTTTTATGTGCTGTGTCCCATCACTGGGTACTTGACCCTATCTCTTCAGGACTTTATTTTTTCTTTGTAGCAGTGAGTGAAAGTTTCTGGAACAAGCATCTGCCAAGACTTGATTTTGGAAAGATTTGAATGATGATAACAAACCCATAGGATATGCAAATTCAATGCAACTATAGTCACAGTTATAACATTCATGTTACTCCTGACAGAAAACCCATACAAATGATCATGAAGTACCTTGAAAGCAACATTTCCTTTGGTGATAAAGTTCTTAATGATTTTCTGCATGATTATCCTGTTATCCTGTTAAAAGCATCTAAAATGTGATGCTCCTGGTGTAAAAAATAATTCAACACAATCTTTCCAAACAGACAATTGCAGTTACATTGAATTTGTACTGCCTGATCAGTTTAGTACCTTAATCTATTTCTTTTTTTTTAAACATGATTTCAAGTCAAGTCTAAGCATAGTAATGCGTTTCAGAGAAACTACCATTCAAGAAAAAGGAAAATTAGTATTGGTCAAAGTTATGCTATTTTTATTCCTGGTCCATTTTTGGCACTGGCACCCATAGGTGGCCTTGGAGACAGCTGGGGCATATGTGGAATGGATCCCAGTGGGGTACATTGTCATGGAGCAAGGCTGTTTCATTAACATCTGCTGCCAACTCCTCCTTGAACCCAGCCTCCGCCTCAAGGCAACGGATTGCCTTTTCCAGGTAATATTTTATTTCAGGTTTCTCAGATTTTGCTAATGACATTGGGTATCAGATACATAGCTGTTTGAATATTTACTTTGATAATACATGACTAGTAAGTCTTATTTGTAATTCAATGCTCTAACTGATGAGGAAAACTCTGATGGTACACTCTCAAGCATCAGCTGAGGAATCTCAAAACAGATTCAAGTCTGTTTTCATTGCCAAAAAGTAGAAAATAAATAATGAAGGGATGAAATATGAAATTTTAATCTAACAATCCTGGTATGCATGGGCTGGAATACTCCTTTGCCACATTTCATTTCACTAGAAGTTGAGTTTCACTTGGCCCTTTCAGACTTACTCCTATGAAATATGAGATTCTAAGATTGCAATTTTATTGTTGATTTCCTTCATTCAGTTTGAAATCTTCTAAATGTGCCTTCTCTCTAGGATTCCAGCTAACCCTCTCTCCCTTCAAAGTCCCCCCTCCCTCCAACTTTAAACTTTATCTAAGACCTGTGTAACCTCTTACTTTGGGAAACACAATGTGCCACATGATTTTAGCCTTCACCACAGGGTTCGTTTACCATCTGACATTTAGAGACAAGAGTATCTAATGCTTCAGTCTCCCTATCTGAACATGTCCTGATCTGCATTTGGAAAAGATATTATCTGATACTATGCATTTTAAACCCAGGCCCCCTTTCATAGGAGCCAAGCACACCACCAGCTTAGTCACTGACCTTGTCCACGCTTTTGTGACACTAAATTGGTCATAACTCCTCCAGTTTTAATCACAATGCAACAATGAGGTGCTGAGCGATCCAAGCCATTAACAAGCTTCCAAATAAGTTGAAAACTTTGCATTATGGCAGCTTAGGTAGTTTCTATATTGCAAGTGGTTTTTGTCACAAGGGCATCATTTCATTCTTCAGTAGCTGAAAGTTTGTAATCTCATTCCTAGATGTGTTGTTGCAGCAAAATTCAACCCGATTTATGGATGACTTATGAAATTTCACTTCTCCACTTGGCCACTTTCAATGTGTCAAAGGGTTTTGCTTTTGTAGGATGCTCTTTGATTTAGACTCGTGCCTGACAGTGCCTAAGCTTGACAGCTCTTCTGGTCAACTTGACAAGTGAAGAACCCAGGAAAATTTTGGGCTAGAGAGAACCACTATCTCATGCCCCCAGTTGCTTCCTTTGAAGCCTGATAATCTTGAATTTACCTGTAGGGATATGGTAACCAATGTTTTCAAATTGAATTCTAGCATACTGGATACTCATTGCCAGAGCATATTTTGTGTTACAACTTACTTGAACCTAAGCTGCATCTGTAGTGTTTACAGTAGGTTGCAAAGGTTTTTTTTTTATGAGTGAACAACTTTTCTTGTTTCCTTTTACAGCTGGTGAGCCGGAAAGGGAAAGTTGAAGTGCGTCGTCCCAGTCTCATTCTTTTTGAGGAGGGCCATCTGCAATATATTATGTCCTCCATTCAGTGCAACAGCTCCAATTCACAGATGGATCCAGATTCATATCAGTATTTGAAGAGTGTGAGTCAGTTGATCAGTGGAATGACAACTCAGCTGTGCATGCTGATTGGGAAGGAGAAGGATCTTGCAGATCCACCAAGTACATTTCCGTTGTTCCTCGAGATTGCTCTCATACTCACCGAACATGCAAGTCATGTCATCTCATCCCACATGGCCTCAGCATGGCAGCAGCTGTTCTCTCACCCACAACTCTCTGCCTCCCAATACCTTCTTGCCTGCATCCCAAAGTGGATCGAGCTGGCTGTGCGACACACATGGAAGACTGGATTCAGGTCCAGGAACAACAGCCCCAGCTGTGAATTCTCCAGGCTGGATTTTGATACAGATGAAGCTTTCTTTGCTTTTCTGACCAAGGTTCGCATAGAGATACATGCATGCATCCGAACAGTTGGGAACTTAGCTCCTCTGCTGACATTCCAGTTTCTCAGAACTTGGATCACAGCACTCTTGAATAAATCTTCAGACAGCCTGCAGGAGGAAGATATTACAAGGGAGTACCCCATGAATTCTGAAATGCCCCTCCACTTGGAGTGGGAATCCTTATCTGCCATTTTGGATCATGCAATCCCAAAAATCATGGCCAGTCCCAATAGCCCAAAACCACTCCCAGAGGATGGGATTCAGCTCTTACGAATGTGTCTTGCATTCACCACTCGAGATCCCCTCATCCTCTCGTCGTGGTTGTCTTGCATCTCTGCGCTCTTCCTGTTTGTGCCCTATGAGGTATCCTTGCTTCCTGAAACACTTACAAAAATCTTTGGAGCCGTAGTTTTCACCCTCCCAAACCAGGCTGCCAAAGGTTCCCGAAGCAAATCAGTGAGAAATGTCCGTCGCCATGCTTGTTCTCTCCTCGTGAAACTGAGTGTCAAATACCCAGAAACTCTCTTCCCGGTTTTTGAATCCATCTTCAACATGGTGAAGGAGTTGAGCAAGGAGGAGTCAAAGCTGTCCCAGATGGAGAAGCTCACCCTGGCTGAGGTCCTACTCATCCTTAGCAACAAGTGGTGTCACTATGATAAGCAGACTCAATTCATTGGAGCTTTGTTAGAGCCAACCAGAGAACAGTGGATGGCAGTCACACCTCATCTGTCCTCATGCTTGTCTTTCATGTCATTTGTGGGACTGGACCATGAACCAGTTGAACCCAGTGATAGTGATCTCAGTGGGAAGAACCGTGCCTTGCTCACAGACTGCATTCAGATGATATTTTCTGTGGTAAAGCGCTGCACTTGGCCAGAAAACATTGATGCAGCTCGATTGGGAGGCTTTGTGCGCTCTGAGGACCAGACAACTCTCTGCAACCCAGCAGCACCACATATCTTGCCTCTCCTACCAGGCATTTTTCATTTCATGGGTGTTATTCATTTGTTATGGCACCCAGAGGCATTCCAGAAATTCTCTTCTGGATACAAGAAGTCTTTTTGCCTCTTGGATGTCGAGAAACATCTGATACTTGGTACTCCACATGTGGAGACTGCTGGGGAATTGACCCGAAGTCCCCTGGAACGGATGCAGCAGTTCCTCTCGTCCATGCATGAAAGCTGTTGCCACATTTTGGGAAATGCTGCAGCAACTCTGGGGAAGGAGTTCTTTGCCATCCCAAATCTGGTGGGGATGGTGATCAATGAATCCCTTGCTGGGATTGACTGTATTGAGGACCATTGGCTACGGCGTATTGTGAGAGTCTTCCTCCGCTCATTTTTCACCCATTGCCCCCCGAGTGACTACCTTCGTGTTGTGGTGCCCATCCTCAGCCAGTTGCTTCCATATAGTACGTTACCTCTTTTTTTTTCAGTGCAACCAAGTGAAGTTACTTGTTGCCTGAACATTCTTAATTCTGAAAGTGAAATAGATGCTGTATAACCATGAATGTATGATTTCAAGAATTTGATGGTTGCAGAGGGAGAAAAAAATGGGAGAGAATTCTGTCTCAAAGGCCTGATATGTCTCCAGTGGAGTCACAAATTTTTTTTTTGTTCTTCCTGTTACATGCATATATTAGTTTTCATCTATGCTGAATTTTTATCTTGATTTTTAGTAGATCTATCATGTTTGTGTAACATGAAAGTCCAGAGGTAACAGTATGAAGTGTACATGGATAATTATTTTAATAATCATGGAACAGATATTAATCCAATGTATAATTCTGGCCTTTATTGGAGGAGATACAAATTGAGAATGAGTGATCAGGTTCTAATCAAGTTGCTTGAGGGTACTAGGCTCACTTATCTGTATATGATTTATCTGCTCAAACATGCAAGAAGTTGGTTTGACTCAGATGGATATTTAAGGATTCAAAAAACTGTTTGTGGCCACTTGTCAGTGATCACATCAGGTTTTTTTTGTGTAAATTACTACTTTACTCATACTTTTGAGGGCACAAATTAGATTCTGTGATTGTCAGGTGTGATAATGACCTTTATTTCCTCTGCAGTGCTTACAAGGCTGAGCCAGAAGTGGGAGAATGGAAGTACAGCAGAAAGCACATCTCCAGCCTTCTCCTATGAAACTCCTGACACAAGGGTAGGCTTATAGCAGTTTACTGGTGTTGAGGGCAGATTTCTTTCCATGGTCACAAAGCATGCGTGTGCTTCATCTCACTTACATATTTGTGTGATATGGAAACCTAGCACCTATTGGAGTGAAATAAGCCTCTGTTGTCAAATCATAATTAATTTTTAATTTCTTATTTTTGTCATATTCAGGGGACTGTTTAGTCTTATTTCCTCTATAACTTGTTTCAAATATGATGAATTTTTTGTGAATATTATTTTTTTTAGTATACACTACTGGTCAAGAAAAAAATTTCTGCCTGCAAAATTGCTCATTTAAGCTTATGATTCATCCCCAGATGTGTCTGAGGCAGTTAAACCCTTTCAGTTTTATCATAAATAATGCAGGCAAGTCAATTCCATAATTTAATGCAATCTCATTATCATTACAACATGGGGTGCAATGTAGCCTAAAAGCTGGGTGCCCCTCTTTAGTCTCCAAAAAAGAGTTCACAAGTCTGAGCATTCTGCAAGTAGTGACCAGGAATAATCAATTGGAATATCATTCCTAATATGTCTAACAGTTTCGAGCATCTTTTCATTTTTCTTACTGCATTTCTTGGCAACTCACTGATAACATCTCATGTGCATTTGATTGGGTTCTTATCTTCACCCTGCTACTCCCAGGGCTAGACACTGATGACAATCTCCTCCAGTTTCATCCCTTGGCTAGAATTGTGCACTGGAGTGATATGCTTAAAAGTAGCTTCAACATTGGGAAAGAGTTGGGAAAGATGTGATCCTTGATCAGAGGACAGTATTGTTGTTTTCTCATACTCTTTACATCTACACATCTAGGGACAAATTAGCTTGAATGTGGAGTTTGGCAAGCAAGATCTTTATTTCAGACCAGTAGTATGCGACTATTGGTATGCCTTTTTTTTTGGCAGCATATAGACACCATAGTTGTTGCCTGACTGAAATTTGATCTTTTAACTTGTCTTTGATCAGACAAATCTCAGGACCTATTAAATTATGCAATTATTAGATTAAATATTTGGAATAGCCTGGCAATCTTTGGATCAGAAAAATCAATATCCTAGTCATGACTCATCTGTCTTATGTTGGACCATAAATCAGATTGAGATAAAATGCTTAAATTCATATTCCTGACATTTTTAAGTTAGCATGTTAAGGTAGAAGCAATTGAGTACTTTCATTAAACTTAATCCCAGTATAACAGTAATTTCTCTATATGTTATGCTCTATGGTGGCAATAATATAAAAATGCAGGTGTTCTTTTTAAGCTATCAGGTTCAGTTTATTTTCACCAGAGGATGTCAATGCTTTATCATGACGGAGCTCACTCAATGTGGCTCTGAGACAGAATGAATGGCTGCAACGTCTCATATTGCAAATTTATTCAAACCTACACTCTTGTCCACATGCTTGGATATGTGTAGCTTTTTTGTGGCTTTGTGTGGCACCTAATAGATGTGGCCAGTGAGCACTATGAAATCAGGAATGTAGTCTTGGACAAGACAGCAATTTTCATGTACTGCTTAGCATTAGAATCTGCCAACTCTGTTCATGATCTGGTCATGAGAAGGTGTAGTTTTGTTATGACTTATTTCCATCTCTATTCATGCCTAAAGCCACACATTTGACCTTCATGTGGCACCAGTTGGTAACTCTTAGTGTACAATTGAGGTAAGTTATCATGTTGTTTCATGTGTCTTGCTTTGGACTTGGCACATGTGTCTAAAAGCAAAGCAGAGTGGATCAAGTCAGGATGGCTTGATGGGAAATGGTTACAAGCTGGAAAGGTGAAGAATACCTTATTTTCCATCTTAACAATTTCCAAGCATCTGACTGCTAAATATCTCCACATTCACCTACCTGTTACTCATAAAAGTCCCTGAAACTATGAATTTTAAAAGTTCATGCAGATTGAAGTGAGATGCATATAAATTTCCAGAAACTCCCTCATCTTTGCAATGGAGTCCTTAAAAGTCAAAAGTCCAGTAGCATATTGGAAAAGAAAGGCATTCAACAGTTTGATGTATATATGTATGTAAAGGATGGGCCCAAAAAAAATTTCATGCTTTTTTATTTGGTTGCCACATTCTTGCTAATTATGACACACTCATCCAACTTAAAGGATCTGTAGTACACTCTTCTCTGATCAGTGCACTTCATTTCCTGTAAATATAGATAATTAGTTTTATGGAATAATTTTTTGGAATGCAAGGTTAAAAATTGCAAATAATTGCATGTTAATCATCAGATCTAAGGGAACCATTATGTATCATAAATACTATTCTGAAAATGTCTGGTGACTGAGAATAAACATTTCATTTTGTGCAGGTTTTGCCTTGGCTCCCCATGTCCATTTGGCTCCTTCTCTCTCTCTGATAGAGTATGTCAGCCATTCATTCATGTTGCATGTAATGTTTATCAGGAAATGCTGGAGGACCAGCTGCTGCGCCAGCGCACACGTGAATATATCGACCTTCTGCGTGCAATCCTCTTTGAAGCTGAGTCAGGCTCCCAAGTGACTGAAACGAATGATGCAATGGAGGATGGGAGTGATGGATCCCCATCACCCAGACCACTTGCTTCACTCAGTGAGAGTGGCCTCGTTGTCCTAAATGACTCCAATCTACGGCCGGTCATCTTCCTCACACTGCTTAGGTTTGTTCTTTACCTTAGCATCATTCCCTAAACATGGTGAAAGACTCCTTGTACTCTTGCTTGAGAAAGTCAACAAAATTCAGATTATATATCTTATGTAAGCAGAAGACGGTAAAAAGACACATTGCATAAGAGCTTGTAAATGAAGCATTCAGTTATTATGTGAATGTACTTAAGAATGTTTGATGTAGCCCTGAAATAATACTTCAATTGTGGACAATTGATCTACTGTATGACTGTGCCTGTCACCTTGTATGATGAAGTGATTTATTCCTATTTGTGTGTGGATGAATTTGCATTTGACAGAGCCTTGACATGGGGAGATGCCCCAAGCAGCAGCAAGGCATCGATGCTCACAACCCCGGTGATGAAGCATCTGGCAGCCACTGGAGCGATCACAGAATCAGAGGCCAAATCAGCCCTTCAGGCCATTCTGGGGGCTCTGGAAGTTCATGGACAGCATGACAACAACCAAGCATTCCTCATGAACCTCTTGCTCAATGTCTATGATGCCCTGCGGCCTTCATATCCTGCTCTTGCTCAGGTAGGTGGGAAGAAGAAGGAGGAGGAGGCCTTGGCCTCTCATTCTAGATACCTTTTGGCAACCATTAATCTCAGACTTCAATTGGGTCTACTAAAAAAAAAAAAGTATTTGCTTTCATTTAGTAGTTATCAGAAACAGAACTCCATGGTACCCAAGCTAAATGTAAAAATGCCTAAATCAAATTCGCAATTAAATCAAAGTGCATTGAAGATGTTGATCCATGATTATGGGTCACATGCAACATATTGGTAACATAAAACTAATTTATTTTTGTATATGCCCATGATGAAAGATCAGTTTAAGGACAAGGAGATAAGGAAAGGATCCAATGCTCCCTACCCTATATATCTTCTTTGTTGTTAGACTTAAGTATGATGTGAAGAGATGTTGGACTAGATGTTTGTACAATGTGAACAACCTTATAAATCCTCCCAGAAAAGAAAGGATTTTAGTCCTTTAATTGGTGATATGAGGAATTTCTCATATAGACATTCATTTTGAATCAATTCATAGCATTTAACACCCTGCTTGTTGGTTGTTGTTTTTTGTTTAAGAATTAACTGGAAATGTAATCAAATATACTCATGAGATTTCCTGCATTCTCTTGCAGTTCTTCCTCCAAATCCCTGGTAATAACTTGGAGGAAGTTCAGAAAATGGATGACAGGTTCTTAAACTGGAACCCCAAGTATGGGAAGCCGGAGAAGGTGAAGAAAGATATGCTGAAACGCCTTGTAACACCAGTGAGTCTTAATTGCTCTTTTGTGACTGATACCCTAAGATCGACTACCATTCAGCAGAGAAGACTCCTATCTTGCCTGCTGTTGCAGGCACAGTAGAAGCCTTTTTGCAGAAATGAAAATTTTGTTTGTGGAACTCTTCCCCCAAAAATGACTTTAAAATGTGGAAAGTTCAAGAAGAATATAAATATTTATATAAATATACAGGAAGGGAGAGTATAGAAATCTATAAGAATCTTTTCTAGAAATCTGCAAACTTTCACCCATGCTTTGATGATTGCACTAATCCTGTTGTTTTTGCAGATCATAGGAAAGAATGTGGGAGAGTTGGGGAAGAGACCGGTGCTGGTAAAGGATCTGCCCATGATGAGGCCAACAGGGAGAAAGCCACAGCTCAGCCTGGATGAGATGGAACGCAGAAATCTGGGTCTCTGTGGACTTTTTCAAGGTCATGAATCTTCCTCTTCGTCACCTTCTCTCCCTCAAGCACAAGGCCCAATGCAAATCTAGATCTCATGCCATGTTATTCCAAATGAATTCCACCCATGACTGTTGGATGAATTGAAGTGTAGAATGAGAATGAAGTTTGAGGGGTGATTATTGATATTTGGTATCCCAGAGTGTGTTATTTCCCTTGTAGGTGATCTTAGGGGAGGGATTTCATCGCTAACAGTGGGTTTCTTTATTCATGAACACAAAAGAAGTTGATGAACAAGTTGGGAAGAAGGTCCACTGGGTTAATGCGGCTGCTTCAGAAAATTCTCCAAGTGGCACTTACATCGACGCAGTGTTGACAGGGTGTTGGTTGAATGTGGATGTCGACGGCTTATATCTCCGCATTAAATCAACATTGATTCAATGCGCTCATTTGCAGTTCAGATGTCTTGCCGCATATACAATACATAGCAGACGCAAGAGCCCATGAATGTACCTTGTCTCTGGAATACTGGCTAACCCCCTTCCCCTCCTGGTAATATCATCTAACACACGTAACTTCTAACTTTGGAGGACTTGCTTAGGCCCTTCGGCCTTCTCCACCTCAAACGTCTCTTTCCTCAAACACGCCGAGGCAAGCACATAAATGCTTCACTTAAAGAGTTTCAAACCCGAGCTCTCTGCCACAGTAATCGAGGGAGCTACCAACCAAGCCACACACCTGCTCCACACCGAGTTTTCAACGAGTGCTTCATCGGGGGTTGTTGAAGGATGCATCCAACCTACCAGAAAGCATATTAATTATTGATGCTCATCAGCGGCGTAACGTCGGAGGTGCCAGCTCCCCCCCCCCCCCCACTTTTTAAGAAGAGAAGCCAAAAAGGAAAAAGAAAATAGACCCATGAAGTGCATAATAACTGTGCCCTAGAGTTCCCGTGGCTCCCCTCCCCTCAATTTTCCCATCCTCGCTACGTTTATGCTGCTCATGACAAGCTTCAAGGTTAAATCAACGTTTATTCTAGGCATACTGTAATGCCATCATCGCCTGTTGATTCAACATCAACTCAATGTTGTTATAACTCCAGCTCTTGCATTCTCCTCATTCCTGTCTCACGAGTCAAGGCATAGTGCTACCATCTTTCTAAAGTAATTCTCACAGACTGTATTATTTTCGAAAAATATAGGGTAAGTGCTGCGAATGTCGGCACTGGGGGTAATCTCGGCACTTTGCAATTGTCAAAGTTCTGCTTTCACTACTAGTGCCCTAGGCACGGGTAGATAAGTGTTCTCAGATGGTAGGACTAATGTTGTTAACATGTGCTTAGAACAGTCAGATTTGCTGTTGTAGTTCTCTCGCAGTGGCCACTTTCTCTAAGCGCACCCCGAAAATCCTGCGAAATCTTGTGATTTTGCTAAGACTGAAAATTGACATTTCAGGGTTTTGGGAGCAGGAGAACCCTATCGACTAAATTCACTCTAAATTGGAGATGGTAGGACTAATGTTGTTAACATGTGCTTGGAACAGTCAGATTTGCTGTTGTAGTTCTCTCGCAGTAGCCACTTTCTCTAAGCGCACCCCGAAAATCCTGCGAAATCTTGTGATTTTGCTAAGCTTTTTCATATTCCGTTCTTCTCTTCCACACCAGATATTGTTTTATCTGGTCGTTGCATTCATTTTTTAATCTGTTGTAAACGACAGTGATTCATAAGTGTGCCGAGATTCCCGAAGGGGTGGTGCCATCTATACTAGCAAGTGTGCCGAGATTGCCAACATCTGACCCAACTTCACCTTTGACCCAGGCCCTCGGAAATGAAAGGTCTGGGGCACTCGAGGTTTGCGGTATAAGAAGGTTTATAATAAAGGTATCTCCAGACCCATTATGAACGAGGAAGCTCCATTACGAAAACCAGCGAGCAAGGTGGAAGTGCAGAATTTGCTTAGAGTACCGACATTCGCAACACTCACTCTAGTACTTGTGGGGCTGGGATTCTACTCTTCCCTAATCCCGTGCATTGCTGTAATAAAAAGCTTAACTTCAGCATTTAATGATTCCCTGAGTCATATATTATAAAAAATATATATAATAATTTCATGTTTTCCATATATATATTCATGGATTGCATAATAAAAAGTAGAAGGATGGTAAGAAAACCTGATACTATATCAGGAAAACCAGTACTTAATAGTAATTGGAGGATGCAGGGATCAAGGGTTCCATCTGGTGAGGAATCTTGGTACTGCAACTGCAGGATGGTCAGCTAAAGTTTCATATGGATGGTGTGGTGTTAATTTTTCATAAACTTGATATCATGTACTTCACGTCAGATGGAGTGACGTCTAGTTGATGTAAAATACACGTACCCTTTGGTGACGTAAATTTTACGTAAACGTGATGTCATTTTCATGGCAATTGCAAGAAATTTACATTGTTTGCAAAAAATTGATATCTTGTTTACGTGAGCATGCTGCTTGGGCAGCACTCCGATAACATATTGGGCCATGGTTCGCTGGAGAGAAAACAAAAATCTTTTGACAACATAGATCATGTTTTCCAAGTTTCTTTGCTCCAGAGGAACGGACTGACATGATTGAATTAAAATTTAAACACGACTAGTTCTCAGGGTGCTACTTTCGGTGTACATCCCCTGCAGGCACATTTTCGGCTGGAAATTCGTTAGATGAGAAATAGAGTTTCACTGTCTTCCAATTAATCTTATGAAATCATTGCCTCAGGGTTACACGAGCATGTGTTGCATTTTCGCTGTATTGTCAGTCAACTGCACTATGAATAGAGAGCAATGTATGACTTCTGGCAGGAACCATCACTACGCTGCCAAACGCTCCAGACGCCCTTCGACGTGACGAACCGACGAAGGGGCGAGCGTGTCAAGAATCTGGTGCGCTCCGACGGGAGAATCACAGAGTGCTGGCAGAGGAGGCGAACATGTCAATCGGCAACTGTCAAGCCATCGTCACCCAAGACTTGGGCATATGGCGCGTCTCCTTCTTCCGCGCCTTCTCGCTGCTGAACGAACACAGCAACGCGTCAGCGTTTGTCGGGATCCGTTGACCCGTGCCGCAAACGATCCTCACCTGCTTCGCAACACCATCACGGGCGATGAAACGTGGGTTTACGGCTACGACCCCGAAACCAAACGCATGATTCCGCAATGGAATATAAGTTTGCCGAGACTCAGAGAGCCGCGACAGCAAAAGTCGAAGGGTGCAGGTGATGCCGATCACATTCTTCGACTGCGGAACTGGTTCATCACGAATTCGCACCGTAGGGTCGAACGGTGAACCGAGCTTTCTATGTGGGTATCCTGAATCGCCTTAGTGACGCCGTCTGTCGGAAAAGACGACAGAAATGGGAGGCGGAAACGTGAATTCTGGAACACGACAACGCCCCGGCCAGCACCGCCCTCTCCATGCAACAGTTCTAAGCGAAGAATGGCATTTCTATTTTCGACCACCCGTCTTACTCGCTTGATTGGGCTCCAAGTCACTTCTTTCTCTTCCCCAAATTGAAGCCAGTGCTGAGGGGGAGGAGATCTGAAGACATCAGGTCGATCAGGAACAACGCGACGAGAGCGCTTCAGAAGATTACAGAAGAGAACTATGAGGAATGCTTCGGGAGCTTGCAGGGGTGTGGGACAAATTGCTGCACTCTCAAGGGGGCTACTTTCAAGGAGACAGTTCCCAATAGCCCATACGTTGGGCCGTAACNTGATGCGACGACATTGTATCAACATTGAAACAATGTTCACCTTCAACCTTCAACATTCGCACACTCAATCCACATCCAATCCATGTTGATTCAATGTTCTGTGTTACCTGGGTATTAGGAGCTATATCTGTTCTTCCACTTGGAGGATCTTATCCTCCTAAGTACGTTCCTCAAAAAAAATTTTTTTTTGTACTGACAAGTGGACTGTCTGAGAGTTTAAATTCCTTTAGTAGCAGTGGCGGACGTAAGAGGGGGGTGGGGGCGGAACTCTAATCCTTTTTTCCGCGGCCGAAATGAGAGATACTAGTAGGTATACCGCGCCCAACAACCTCCCACCAGGGCATATTGGAAGAAAAAAAATAAAAACTGCACAAATGATTATAACCCCACTGTTGTATACTGTACAACGCTAGGCAGCCCCCCTCCCACATTTTTTTTTTTTTTTTTTTTTNCCGACTTTGGAGGTACATCCCCTGGGGGTACCCATTTTTTTTTTTTTTGGGGGGGGGGGGGGGGGGGGGCTAAGGCACTAAGCCTTACAAAACTTCCCAAATTTTCGCCCTCCCCGCGTGGAGTGCGAAAGTTTGGAGAGAAAAATTAGATTTAGCAACATTTAAAAATCAGGAATGCAGTGAAAATTTTAAATAGTTAGGTTACTGCACTAATTTCCGAGTTATGTTTCCTTCAAAATGAAATTCTTGCCCAGGTTTGAACTGCACAGCATATTTCAGAACTGTACATCTGCCCTCCTGCCCTCCACCCCTAGAGGCATAACGAGGGGGGGGGGGGTGTGAAGCCCCCCCTCCCTTCCCCCTCCCTTCGACCCTTCTTCTCAGACCAGGAATAAACTGACTTTGAGCTTGGAATCGAGTCCCACCTCCACTTCCAAAAATTCTTTATCTGTCACTGTCACTGGTTAATAAGTATGACTTTCCCAGATACCTTTCGTAACGCACGAGGCATGCCATCGACCTTGAGCCTCATGAGGTCGACACCACCTATCGACTCCATCTACTTCATGCATACCTCTCCATGTTATCGCGAGAACCCAAGCCACTCGAGGGGGGGCATGGAGAGTCAAGGACGCATTCATTCCCCCTGTCAGCTTGGCTCTCCAGTTTCATACACGGAGTGGCAGGATACGAGTGTGTCAGCCTGTACTCTGACAAGAGAAACTCTTCCGGAGAAGTGTGTTCAGATTTTTTTCTTTCATCTTCAGCAGGTATGCGTGCACCAGTAGGTATTTTTTTAAATTCAGTCCTCATTCCGAGGCGAGACTAAGGGTGGATTTTTGAACAGAGCACTATCCGATAATGCTGCTTTATTTCAGAGAAAATGCATATTCGAAAATACACTCTGTTCAAAAATCCACCCTAATGGTGGATATTTGAACAGAGCATTATCCGATAATGCAGCTTTATTTCGGAGAAAATGCATTATAAA